TGTGTGTGTATGTGTACACCCATGTGTCCACATGTGTTTGGGAGTGCGAAGAGGAGGTGGGATGGGGCAAAGGATAAAAGGAGCTAGGATCACAAAATTACGGAAGACACAGAACAAGGATAACCAAGAACTTACAAAAGTTTTTTTTAAAAAAACACAGTAGCCTCCCAGGGCTAACTCAACCGATTGATATCAGTCAGTCCCCACTACCATGTTTCCCAGCCAGCCCCCATTATGCACCTCTGAGAAAGCTCTTGGCAAAGAATGCCAGAGATGCCCACTTGCTACCATGATAGGTCACACCCTACTGTGTGTCCCCATGGTCTTGGTGCCAGCTGACTCCATAGCAGGAAGGGTATTTCTAAGGTTGCCCCCAACCCCAGCCATCCTAGAGACCCTGGGGACCCAGACTAGCCCCACAGTGACCATAGGGGAAAGCCAGAGAGAGGTTACCTTTTCCACCACTGATTTATTGCAGTCCTTATTCCCAGAGACAAAGAGGGGCAGAGGGAGTACCCAATCCATGCCCATGGAGCCCATCAGCCCTGGTTCTTCCTCTTCCTTGATGAGCCCGAAGAGAACCTCAGATCCCACATGTCCAACATGAACCCATTGGAAAGCATGATTAAAATTGTAATGCTCCATCTTCTTCTGTTTTTTTTTTCCTTTTATCAGTTTTTATGAAGCCTGAAATAAAACCAGATGAAGACAACTCCATGAGCTCTTATTCAGAAGGTATAATTTGTAATGGTTTTGATGACCTGTAGTATTTGTTACTTACCCATGCGCAAGAAGATGAGAAGCACAGAGTTAGCATGCTCCCAGCCAAGCAGAACCTGCTTGATCATGGCAGACTGAGGCAGCCTTGATCAAGGCCAATGGCCAAGGCACTATCTTTGGAACTTAGTGTCAAGATCAAGGCTCAGATAAGACATTGAACCAAAGAGGCAATTGCTATGGCATTTTGAAAAGGAAGGAAACAACATTTATGACTGGAGTTAGGAGGGAAAATAATGAACTATCCATATGCAGTTCATTCAATGACATTAACTTACACCTACTATATACTGGGCAGGATATAAAAATGGAAAAAAACATCTCACACTCTCAGAATTTAAACTCGAGTGGTCAAGAAATAGCAACCAAGGGACTATTTAGTGAGCATAGGCCACAGGCCTTGACCTGCTCAAGATCAAGGAAGTCTCTTATTCCAAATCATGTGATCTCCACTCTGTTCCCCCAGCTATTTAGGAGGTGACTTTAAAATTGATTCTCTTGGGGATTAAAGGGTCCCATTTAGTTCACCATACCATACATCCTGTTAATAATGTTGCCCATTTTTTTTCAGTGAATGTTGTCTCTGGATTGCAGCCAGCGGATATAGCTTGTAAGTGTCCATCAAAATCTATCTTCCTGCAGAGTCTCCTAGGCTGGGGAAAGTGTCCCAGGTGAATGGTTCCCTTGCTGTTTGTCCTGCTGTCCTGCTTGTTAAGTCCTGGAAGGACTGCGGACATTCTGGGCACACAGCCTCAGAACCCCCAAAACAAGAAATGAGGGAGACAGAATGATGGTACAAGCCCTGAAGCTCATCTTCCTACCCAAAAGCTCTGGAACAAGAGCCTCTACATTAAAAGATGGTTCAGGCTATTGTTGGGTCCCCTGAGGTCTAGAAAGCAGGACTTGACTATGGTGTATGCACCCTCAGATAGACTCATCCAGTGGCACCTTGGTAGCAAATAACTTAGAACTCCTACAAATTTTTTAAAGATTTATTAAAGCTTTATTAAATGTTATTAAGGCGGGTCTGGTAATTCTAGATGGGGAAGGACAGGGGAGAATCCTTATGGTGCAGAATTCCAACTTGCACAGCACCACCACAAAACAAAAGCCCACATGAACCAGACCCATCCTCATAAGGAAACAGTTTAAGAACTATTACCTGTTGTCCTGGAGCATGAAACTTAGGGGTATTCTTACACACACACACACACACACACACACACATCATTCTACCCCCTGTCCCCATGACTTATCAAACAGATTCAAATTATGGACTATGCATGCCACCCACATCTCTGCAACCCCAGAGGTACTTCTGGATACAGTTTTCTCTGTCTTGTTCCATTTCCAAGGGTGTTCTAGAGAGGTGCTGCTAAATTGTTAATGCACAGTGCAGTCCCCTGGAGACCTTGTGTGAATGTAGATTCTGAGTCTGTAGGTCTGATATTCTTCCTCTCTAAGCAGCTCCCAGAAGCTACTGCTAATCCACCAATCACATTTTGGGTAGCCAGACTTTAGAACAGTTTAAGGATTTGTGCATGTCGCAATGGGCAGCCCAACTGATGTCCCACCTGCCTAGGTCAACAAGGTCACATGAAGGGTGCATGGGGTGAAAAGAGTATTGAGTTTCACTTGGGTGCTTGTTAATCTGTGCTGATTGCTCATTTCTCAGAGCTGGCCCTTGGGCTAGTCACTTTACTTCTCTCCTCCTTTTCTTCATCTATTGTCAAAGAGAAAATCATTTAATGGCATTTGTTAAAGCATGAGATAGGCCAAAGTAATCAGACATCACTGGGAGCTGGAAGAGCTGAGGAACGTGATCAGATACCTAAAATGGTCAGATCTTGAGGGTAGGGGGTTCCTACTAAAGTGGTTTAGCAGGGTTTTTGCTAAAACTGGATTTTACAAGGAAGTACACAGACAGGCCTAGAAGACTCAGGAGCCTTTGGTCAAGCAAAGAATTTTTGTCATTGTAACATGGGGACTATTGTTATCAGGGCAAATACAAATGGCTCAAACGTTTATCCTAAATTCAGGAAGTGCCATTGTGTTAAGTAAGCTTAATGAGGATGCAAAATCACTCTTAGAGAAGAGGCACTTTGAGTGAGGAAGAACTAAGATTTGTTCATAATCAGACCAGGAAAAATACTCCATTCAGCACAGAGTGTGTGCCAGGCATTGACCTACATTAGCATTGATACTCTGAGCCACCCTAAAGATGAGTCTTACTGTCCCCATTGCACAGATGAGGAGCTAGGATGCAAGAAGGATGTGTGGTATGTCAGAGGTGGCTCAGGTCTCATAAGACAGAGCTACCACTTGAACCTAATCTGACACCTCCCCAATGTTCTGTGGGGCCACTTCAGGAAGATATTGATCTCACCAGAGCAGAAGTAGTTGGGGGGATCCCCAAAGGGTCAGTAAATTAGAAATAGTTTTCTTCTCATTCACTTCCAGTTATAGCTATGCTACTGCTTATTTACCATGCTTAACTTGCCATGTTGACAAAGCCCATTGATGTTAATAAGCTTAATTATTACATTGAATCGAAGGCTTCTGAGCACTACTGTTCAGTATTCAGAAATGCCAATTTCACCTTCTTCCTGGATAAACACCTACTTTTCCTTCCTCATATTAACTGGGCATTATTCAATAAAGCCTATTAAAATATAGCCCTCACAAATGATGGGGCTCTGGCTGAGCTGTGAGGGCCAGAGCCAGGCTCACTCTGGGGCAGTCACACAGAAGGCAGCTGCCCTTGCAGCTCAAAGCACCTTACACTTGTGGCTTGCACCTTGGTCTCTTAGACCCTTGTTCTCCCTGTTCATTCACGTCACTCCTCTGGTGCCACTCACAGGGAGCTTCCCCGATGCTTGCTTGAATTCCTGTGGGTCCTTGTTGGATTTTCCTAAACTTTTGAAAACTTCCCATGCTCCTCTCCACGGCAGACATCGCCACTGTCACATTAAGTACCCTCGTGGCGGAGATGTGTGTGACATGTGTGGCCGCTGGGGTATTGACAGATGTGGCAAGTGGATAGAATCCAGTGCAGACCGAGGCTGCAGTGGGAGGTTTGCAGACAGGCCCCTGGGCCTTGTGTCGCTGCACTCAGTGGAACTCTCTGTCCCATCCCATCAGGAGCCCAAAAGAGTCAGGGCTTTTATTACTCAATCAAACAGGGAAGCAGGGCAAAATTAATGAGGGTGGGGATCACAAAGAATGTCCCCTCTCTGCCCACAAAGACATAATGAGGATGCAAAATCAAACGAAGTCAGTCAGCCCTGTGCCAACCTGGTGGGTTTTCAAGGCTCTCTGGATGTCCCAGCTTGAAGGTATCATCCAGAAGCTGAGGCAATAGGCCACTGTCATTTCTCTGGGGACCCAATTATCTTGTGAGAGCGACTTCCCCCAAGCCCTCACCTCAGAAGCCACACTTTCCAGGGAGTAGGGAAGAGAGATTCAAGTTGTAATTATCAATCCCACAATTCAATTTGCACCCCACTGCCCTGGAGGCTTTGAGCAGCTCTCCTGGCCCAGAGAGCCACCTGCCACAGCTGACCTTGAAGAATAAAAGACGTTTGCTATCTCTGGTAGACTTTAACTGACTCGCTTGGGGAGTCCTCTCTTCTGCTTTGACCAGCGATTGTAAACCGTAGGCCATTCCAGAAATAGGCGATAGATGACAAAACTGGTGGAAGACAGATACATTCTGTGAGAGTTCCAAGAAAAAAAAAATCATCTCCCTTTAGTTCCTCCCACCGCCTTCCAAGCCCTCTGAGGGCTGGCCTTGACTCTCTGTGTGCTCTCTAACTCCCCTTCTGCCCTCCTTCATGTTCGGCTCCAGGCAGACTGTGCTTTTTGTGGCAGTCTGCCTGTGAGTCTAACCACTCACCCCAGGGCCTTGCCCAGCCATCTGCCTGCTCCCTGCCTGACTTCATCTGGGACTCCCTCAAACATCACTTGATCGGACTGACATTCACTGGACACAAGAAACACACCACACTTGCTTCCTTAAGTCAGCCATGGAAACTGACCTTTATATTCCTATTTTATGAGTACTTCCAAGTTGGACTTTAGGTAATTTAATGGATTTATTTAGTCTCGTGGATGACTTAGGCATGTTTTTTAAAGGACAAGGGTAAATGTCATAAATCCATTTCTTTCCTATTTTGCTTTCCATTCCAATGACCTTCCTTTCGATGTGCCTTCCAAATTGAAAGCCTTGGATGAATGGGCCAGCATCATAGATGAGGCTGTGGACAAGGAACTTAAGAACTACAGTGATAATGTAAGTTGGGTGAAGATTTGAGAGCACCTTCCTCCAAATATTAAAACAGGTGACACTCACAGGCTAGGCACATCCTCTGCATGGCTGCACCAGCCTCTGAAAGAGCAGGGCCCATTTAGGAGCCTTCCAGAATGTTCCATGAGACAAAGAGACTGAACAAGAGGACTCCCCTTGCCAGCACCTTCACATCACAGGGCTTTGACACTAGAGGACATTAGTTAGAGATGTCACACTACCAGATTTGTGTTTATTTTTTTGCTTTGATATTTTGATTCAACCTAGCATTTGAATCTCAAATCAAGTGTGCATGATTTTTAAATATTGAAATGGTAAAGAAGCTGTAAAATAAGTGTTTCAAGTCCCTACCTCCCAGAAATAGCTACTGTGTTTTGCTCTTCATGTAGCGATCTGGAAATTTTAATGCACATAAACAATATAAATCATACATATCCATAAATTAGATAGTAATATACATTCTATCCTATAGCTTGCTTTTCCATTTATTCCATTTTTAGAAATCTGTGGTGTTCTGTTATATCTTACACCAAAATTTAACCAGCACCCTACCAATAGATGTTTATTTCCAGTATATGTACTTATATGCATATACATATGTAGAGAGGGAGAAGAAATAAATTAAATATATATGTTATTACCTGTGCAAGAATATCTAAAGAATAAATCCCTTGCAGTTGAATGCCAAATCCAATGTTACCTGCATCCTTAACTCGAATGGCACTGACAAATTTCTGCCCATATGTATTGTGCCACTTTCCTTTCCCCAAGAGGTCACACACCCTCACCCACCAAGGGGCATCATTTGGTCCATCCAACAGGGTGAAAATAATGTCTCCTGGGCCTATTTTTCAATACAAAAGGTGCAGGGCATGTTCACATTTGTCGGTCACATTGTGTCCCTTTCTGTGAAACGGCCAGCTTGTATGTTTTGTCTCCTCTTCTATTGTGTTACTTCTTTCTCGTTTCTTCTGATTTGTAAAAACTCTTTATATATTGAAGAGCTTAATCCTTTTTTTTTTTTTTTGGCATCTAGGTTGTAAACATTTTTTTTCAGTTTTTTTATTCCAAATTTCTTCATGGTATTTTCCATGACATGGTCAATTTTCATGTTTAGGAAGGTTCATGGAACAGTTTTTTTTTTTTTTTTCTTATGACTACTGGGTATTTTTTTAGATTTAGAAAGGTCTTTTGGCTCTCAAAAAAAATTATAATTTATTTATTTTTCTAGCTCTCTAAGAGATCTTTAATATATATAAAAAATTTGAAATGTATTTGGGGAAACAGCATGGCATAGGGGATCCGGCCGAAGTTCCCAACAGTATTAATTGAGTTCCTTCACGACTGACAGGATCAATTTTGCATTTTTAAAGGGCCACTCTGGTGGCTCTGTGGATTAGAGTGGGGAGACTGAGGACAGGAAGAAGAGTAGTTCTACAATATCAGTACACATGAACAAAGGATAAAATCTGGTTGCTTAGGGCTATGTCCAATCACCTGCCGTGACATAGGACATACTTATCCTCTGTGGCCTGGGAAGCTGAAGAGGAGAAGAAGGGCTGGCATATATGTTGGGTAGAGTAGAAAGCTCCATTTGGGCACACTGAGTAAGTACCTGTAATACATCCAAATGACGTCGAGTTGAAAACCAGGAACAGTCCCTCTAAATTCTAGGAGAATGTTCTTGATTAAAGGCTTCGATTTGGAATCTGTATTAGTTTGCTAAGGCCACAGTAATAAAGTGTCACAAATGAAGTGGCTTAAACAACAGAAGCATATTGACTCCCAATTCTGGAGACTAAAAACCCCAAATCAGGACACTGGCAGGCTTGGTTCCCCCTGAGGACTGTGTGGGGAGAATCTGGTCCATACTTCCCTCCTTGGCTTGTAGATGACATCTTCCCCCACCTCGTATCACTTCCTGTTGTCTTACCTCTATGTTTCCCATTGTTATAAGGACACTAGTCGTATAGGATGAGGGATCACCCCAATGGCACCATTTTAATTTGGTAACCTCTGTGAAGACCCTATATCCAAACAAGGTCACTAAGTTACAAAGAATAGAACTTCAATATACGAATCTGTGGGAGAATTCTTAGCACATAACATTTAGCATATAGTTGCAACCTGGGAAATAGAGGTGATTATAGGGCATAATTATTATTGTTATTTTTGTTTTACTATCACAGATAGACAGTACCTCCTTTCCCCCAAACACATAAAAAAGTGCCAGTGTTAGTTTGTTTTCCTACGTGAGCCTATGAGCTTTTGGTCAGCATTTAGAAGGGCTTTTAATAAGTGAAGTGGAATCCAGGAAAAAAAAGGGGTTAGAGGGGATGGTACCACATATGTTTCTTATCTAAATTCTATAGACGGTGACTGAGCCCCTATGGTTAGAGTATAAAAGCCAGTCATGGATGGAAACCAGTTATGAAGCACATTGCAAAAGTCTGGACATGAGCCATGCTGCTCTAGAGTCAATGTGACAAAACTTGGCACCAAGTTTGGGGATTCTTTCCTCTCTGATTTCTGTACCATTCAAGGATTGGGGCATGGGCACCAACATTATCACCCAACATAATGTATTAGTCAGCTCCACGTCACTGTAACAAAATACCTGATATTGGCTACTTGTAAAGTAAAGACTTTATTTTGGCTCACAGTTCTGGAGTTTTATGTCCAAGATCAGGCAACCCCCATGGGTTTGGGCCTCTGGCAAGGGCAGCACACCATGGCAGGAGCCTGTGTCAGAGCAAGAAGTCACATCTTGAGCCAGGAAGTAGAACAAGGGAGAAGAGGAAATAGATACACACAATCCCTAGAAGGTGCTCCTCTAGTGACCCAAGCAATTCCCACGAAGCCCCACCTTTTGCAGGTTCTGCCATTTCCTAATAATGTACCCTGAGACCATGCCCTTAACAGGCGGGCCTTTGGTAGACATTCAATATCCAAACCATAGCAGTCAATAACATGGCTTAGCAACTCAATACTTCTCCAAACAACTTGGTAGGCAACAAGTAGAACCAGAGCAAGAGAGGAAGAACGGAATGAATGCCACTTGGTACCTGCAAGGCTTATTTTTGTGAACATACAAGTTCACACAAGTTCAAATTGCAAGGACCCATCTATGGGTCAGTCATGATAAGAAGCACAGACCTGAGACAGAGGATCAAATTTACACAGTACAAAGGCTTTACACAGTGTAAAGCCCTTACCTGGGAAGACTCTTTCAATGCAGAGCTGTCCAGTACAATGATGCTCTACTGCTCCACGGCTTCCCTCAAAGACTTCAGCCTTGATATTGAATAAACAAGCCACCCCTAGGAGATTGGCCATTTGGGGATCAGAGAACCCGCTACACTCTTAAAATGTGAAATCACTTTTACATTTTATAGCCATTTTCAGAATTGAAAAAAAGAGGATATTATATCTCAAAAGAGTTCTTGAGATACTGATATTACAAACAATTCGTAAGGCAATCGGGTGGGGGGACAAGAAGAGAATATAATGAATTCTATAAAAGAATTCTTGCTAGCCACCCTACTGCTCCCCAACTTTGTGTCTTTTGAATCACATGATGAAATGTCACCTGGCACGTTTGGGAGTCCGAAGAAGGGATTAATTAATGAATCATTAATTTTCATTTTCTGGGGATTTCATTTGTGATCCTTTTTTAGTTTTTTAGAAGATCCTATCAGGCAGTATTTAAGAGAATAGTCAGAGAAATGTATGCTGCCAATGAACTGGAAGACGATCTTAACATCCCCCTGACTCTGATGCTGGAAACTGAAGACAGAAGGAAGCTGGGAATGCTGTGAGTAACTGGAGAGGTGGGATTAGTGGTCTGTGGGTTTGGGGAGACAGGAGGTGACAGCAGGCAAAGTTGTAAATGGAACCGCCAGGGGAGAGAGCAGAGACTGGCAAGTCCCCTTGCAGGGAAAGCAGGCCCAGGCCAGGTACAAGAGCAACGGTGATACCCAGGGGTCAGACAGACACAGCAATCATCCAGATGCCAGACCAAAGTGAAAACCCAAGAGCAAGGAAATCACAAACATGGGAGGCACGGGATAGGAGCAAAGCCAGGGGCAGAGGTTGGAAATCCAGAGCAAGAAGGGTCGTTTAAGGAAAATGAACTTGAACAAGAGTCTAGGCAATGAGACTCAGATTCCTTTTAAAAGAGGGGGCAAGAGTTGTCAAGATGCTGAGCATCTCCCCCAACAAATTCCCTGGCTTCATCCTAGGCTGGCCAATGTTTGCTTTGCTTTGCTTTCTCAAGGAGGGAAAGCTATGAGCATCACTGAACTGGGGGTCACACCAGAGCCTCAGACCATGACGTGGGGAATGAGAGGGTTATTGCAAACCTGTTGCTGGCACCAGCTCTTTCTTGCTGGCAAGGCTCCAGTTCCCAAATATTCCAGAATCTCATGTATACATCCAGCCTGTGATGCGATATGTCCTCTCAGCATAGACACCTGGGTTTACTCTTATCCACTGTCAAATATCTGGAGGAGCAAGGTGTGTGTGTGTGTGTGTGTGTGTGTGTCGGTGGGTAATGGGGATGGAGGACCCATGGGTTTGTGGCTGACTCTCCAGCAGTGGTACCAAACGCAGGCTGAGGAAACAAGTCCCCTCCATAATCACTGTAGCAAGTTCCATCATTGACCAATCAGGAAGAAACTGACTGCCAGCAACTTCCGTTTGGGGCTCAGCAGTCATGGGCAACAGATCCTCAAGGCTTCTCCAGAAAAGGGGAAGGCAAAGGAACAGAGCAAAACACAAAGATCTCCCAAGAGCAAAACACAAAGCTCTCCCAAGCTCTCAGATCAGCAAAAGCAAATACCAAATAGCATCCGGGTAAATCAACCTGCCGCCTGGGTTCCATCTCTTCCCCTTTCTTCCCACTGTAGCCTATAAGAGAAGCTCATTTCAACCTGACTGTGCTCAACAAATATTTCCCCTGGGCTATGGGGATATAGTCGTGTGTACCTCACAGCCTCACTTTTGGGGGGATTCCACTTACTTGCAAAATACCAAGGGAGGCACATCCAGCCATTACAGAAAGGGCCTTGGAGCCTCTGGCTGGATCCCTTCACTAGAGTTTAACACTTGTCTGCATTTGGCATCCTGCTCACAGGCTTCCACCTCGCCACACGCTGTGGTCCTTATTTTTTTCCACAGGTGCCAGTTGGCAGAAATTGCTTTGATTCCGATTAGAGAGCTTACAAGTCAAACCGATAACATTCTGTACAAATGGGCCACCAAAATGCCATTCTTTGTTCCCCCACTGCTGCTTGTGTATAAATAGTAACCCTCTGCTCTCTGCTAGGTGACAGAGTGTGACCCTTGCCATCAACTGAGGTTGCTCTGGGTTTAATTTTTATTTCTCTTCGGGGACTTAAAACCTGTCAGGTCAATGGCCTCCTTTTCAGTTCCATTTAAGCTTGGGAACCTCACTCTTTCTGACACCTTTCCTTTCCAAACGAACTCAGATCTGAGAACTAGGAAACCCAGCTGCCCTGGAGACCACCTTATTTGGGGGCCCTTTTTTAAAATATATATATTTTTTTTCTTTTTTTTTTTTTTTATTTAAAGACAGAGTCTTGCTAAGTTGTTTGGACCTCACTAAGTTGCTGAGGCTGGCTTTCAACTTGCGATCCTCCTGCCTCTGCCTCCCAAGTTGTGCCACCATGCTCGGCTTCAAGATAATTCTTGTTGAATTCTTTTTCAAGGGTTTGGGGGTCAGCCCATGTGCCCAGGATGAAAATCAGTAAGCCACCAGGAGGGAAGAACAGAACAGAGGCCAAAGGCCAACCTTTTATTCCTGACCATGGACTGGAAGGAAAGCTGGGTCAGACAGCAGAGCCAGTGTCTCAACTTCCCCCACCCCCACCCCCACCCTGATATAAAAGATTCCACAGGCTCTAGCCCTGCCAGCTCTGCGCATCATGACATGTACATTCAGTCATGGTTTTCAAAGAGGATTCATGTTCCTTTTAGGTTGAAGGCAAATTTTGAAGCATTGGAAGACCCAATCATATGGCTTATGAAGAGACATGAAGGTAAGCACCAGACTACCAGTCACTCCCCGTGTCTAGTCTCTGACCATCTAGTTGCCTTGTAAAGGAGACAGAAATGCTTGTTTACTCAAGTACCGACTGGGCTAGCAAAGTCCGAGCTGCAGGGAACAAAATATCAAGCAAGATAGACACAGTCTAGGACCGGTGGACCGCCTGATCCCTTGGAGGAAGGGGACAGACAAGCAAGTGGGGAATATATTTTTTTTTTTAATTTTTTATTGTGGGTTGTTCAAAACATTACAAATTTCTTGACATATCATATTCCACACTTTGATTCAAGTGGGTTATGAACTCCCACCTTCACCCCATACACAGATTGCAGATTCACATCAGTTACACATCCATTGATTTACAAATTGCCATACTAGTGTCTGCAAGTGGGGAATATAATGGTTAAGTCCTATGATGGGTAGGGATGCTCTGAAGCACAGGGAGGGGCATCTAACCCAGATTTGGGGGAAAGGGTCTCCACTTGTGGGACCCAGCTATTAAGACATGGCTGATCATGGAGGTTGCCAGGTTTGTGGGTTGAATCATGCAAAGTTTGGGTCAGACTGCTTAACTGAGGAACTTCAAACCACAATATGGAGTATCTTTCAGAAAACCAGAGAAAGCTAACACAGAAAGGGTGGTGGTACCCATGAGAGAGACAGCCAATCAGCCATGGTCCTCTTTCCCCCTGAGACATGTCACACCCTCAGATTCCCTCTCAAGAGAGTGCTCTAGCCCCCTAATAGTAGCATGTGTCCCAAATCATAAGGAATAACCCCTGTGGGCTAAGTACTTGCATATGCAATGTCTGATTCAAAGTTATCTTCATAACCATGTGAAGAAGGATTAAGAAACTAAGGCTCAGAGAGATTAAGTGATTTTCCCAAGAACACCAGTCATTGAATGGAAAAGCCACACTGTTTTTTTTCACTATTTCTCAGGCCAAACCTAGGACTCATCTCCTGGGCACGCTCAGGCCAGTGTGTCTAGAGAAGAAAAAGGGATGGGAACTGTCTAAGCCTAAGTCTCATGTCCTCATTGGAGTTAGAGGGTAGGGAAAAGGAGAAATTGTTACCTCCAGTTACTGAGGTGAGAGAACCTGCCCCCCACCAAGGCTCACACAATGGGGTACCCCCAAAACAAGGACAGGAGTTCACCTTCTCAGTCGCCAGGAACACAGAAAATGTCTATTACAACTTACTGTTTTACATCTGTCTGCTACTTATGTTTCTTTTACCCTGTGGCTGTAGACACTTATGTCTTTATTTTCTTGGCACCTTAGCAAGGCATACAGTAGGCACTCAATCAATGTTTCTTGAATGGATGCATGCATGCATGAATTTTTGCTCCTTTGAGGGAATAAAAGCCTTTCAGGATAATCTACTGTCCCATGTCCAGAGAAGGGCTTCTAATTGGAGAATGAAATTTGATATAATACAAATGACTGGATTCCTCCTGATGTCATCTCTGCCCACTCCCTGCTTGTTCCAATAACTGACCCCTAAAAGATGTGAGCTTATTACACAGAAATGTAATAGTTGTGATTGTGTTAGTTAGCTTTTCATCATTGTGACCAAAAGACCTGACAGGAACAACTTAGAGGAGGAAAAGTTAATTTTGGCTCAGAGCATCAGAGACTCAGTCCACAGATGGTCAACTCCATTACTCTGGACCTGAGGTGAAGCAGAACATCATGGTGGAAAGGCTTGGTGTAGAGGAAAGCTATCCAGCTCACAACATCAAGGAAGTGAGAGCGAGGTGCTAGGGACAAAATACCAACCCCAAAGTGACCTACTTGCTCCAGCCACACCCCACCGGCCTTCAGTTACCACCCAGTAGAGTAGTCCTTGCAAATTTTTAATCCATCAAGTGAATGAATCCACTGATCAGGTTACAGCTCTTATAACCTAATCTTAATGCTCATCTTTGAAAATTCCTGTATTGTTTCACACATGAACTTTCAGGGACACCTTAGATCCAAACCAGAACGCTAGTTGATGAAAGACGTCCACTTCAGGCTCCTGTTGTAGCTAGTCCCCAAGAAGCTAGAGAACTAGCTGCCCTTGAGAGGCAAAGTCACTCACTGCCAGGGTCCTGCTTGGGTTTTTTTGTTTGTTTGGTAGGGTTTTTTTTTTTTTTTTTTTGTACTGGGGATTGAACCCAGGGGTACTTAAACACTGAGCCACATCCCTAGCCCTTTTTTATATTTTGTTTAGAGACAGGGTCTCACTGATTTGCTCAGGGTCTTGCTGCTGAGGTTGTCTTTGAACTCACAATCCCCCTGCCTCAGCCTCCTAAGCTGCTGGGATTGCAGGTGTGCACCACCATGCCCACCTACTCTTTATCATTAGTACACAGCCCAGGACTCTGAACACTTGAATTGCCAAACCAGGGCCAACTTCCCACGCAGTTGGGCAGGGCTCTACACAGAGAGGGACCCTGTGCTTTGGTTAAAGCTTTCCTGTCACTGTCCTGAAATTCTTAATAATTTTGGAAAAGGATCCTGCATCTTCATTTCTCTCTGGGATTCTCAGTTGAAACGGTCTTTCCTATTCAGAACCATCTAGTCTGGAGTAATCTTGAAAACTCTCATTGGGTCTCTATGGCCTCTAAGAAAATGTCCCTATTCCTCATGTGACTTGCAAGGCTCTCAGCTTTTCCTCTTCAGACACACTGTTGTTGTTGCTGTTTTCCTCATTTATCAAATGGGCCTAGTGTCTCCTGCCACAGGGACTGTTCTTGCTGCTCTTTCTGCATAGAATGCTCCTGGTTCTGATATATGGCTCTGTCCCTCTCTTCAGAGGGAATGTTACCTTCTCAGAAGTACTTTCCTTGGCTACCTTTGACCATCCAGTACTCACCTGATGGCATGTACCCATGGTCCCAGCTACTCAAGAAGGATCACTTGAGTTCAGGAATTTGAGGCCAGCCTGCTCAACATCCCATCTCAAAAAAAAAAAAAAAATTTATAAACCAGTGTGTTCACACACACACACACACACACACACACACACACACAATATACATGCACACCATCACTTTCCATCCTGCTTGCCCTATTGCTTCATAGCACTAGTAACCACCTGGCACATTACACTATTATCTGTTCACTTATTTAGCATCAGTCTCCCCTGAGATAGCAGGGACTGTAGCATCCTTGATACCCAGGGCAGCTCTTGGCACACAGGTACACAATAAGCATTTATTAAGTGAGCAAATGAACCCATGATTGAGCCCTATTTGCCTCTCTAGAATCGTCGGTCACCACTAGTTCTTTCTCCTTGGAGCCTTTGACCTTGTGCTAGGACACCCTCTTGACTGATGGACACTTACCTTCCACCAAAATTTGCTTCAGTTTCAGAGCCTGGTTAAGTTCCTTCCTGTGAGTTCTCATGGAACCCTGTTTTGGCCCCAGTGGTGGGACACCCAGGGCTCTCTTCGCTGGCTCCCCAAACCCAGTTCCCAAGACAGTCATGCTCCTCCCTCCCACCAAGAGCATCCTGGCCTTGACCTCAGAGAGAAGCTCTTCTCCCCAGCTCCCTTCACTGCAGCTCCTGTATCACATTCAACACCCTCCAGAAGGCACTTGGAGCAGAGCTTCACTTGCCCTTACTAGTTTAGTTCCAAATTCAATTGTTATAAAAATGGATGAATATAAAAATAAACTTTTTGCTATGAAAACTAGTTGATGCTTTTTAAAAAGCTCAATAAGAAGATACTTTTTAAAAAATTATTTTGGGTTAGTTGTGAACCAAATGTACATAAAAAATTGGGTAATGTGTAGAAATTTTTTTTTTTTTTAAGATTGCACCATTCTGCACTCAGTCTATTAGAAACTTCCAAACCTGAAGGTGATAAGTAGTAAATTATGGGTGTGGTTTGAGCACAGAGCCCCAGTGATCAGATCTCAAAGGAAAGACTTTGCTCTACATTTTAAATGACATATTCATATACATTTAGGCTTTAGGTGAAAGTAACATGTTTAAGGTGTGTTTCCCTTTCTTTAGTCTGTTTTTTCATTTAGCAGCCACAACTTTTGTCTGAGAACATGTCACTCATTGCTCCACACTTTGCATATGGCTGTCTCCTTCTCTAGTGCCCATGTCTGGACGGGGTGGCCTTCACCATCGTGTCTATTATTCTGCCCTTGACTGCTACACATTAAGCCCTTAGAAATATGTGTTCAGTGAATGATTGAATAAACAGAGAGAGCTGGAATTTCAGCCCCAGCCTTGCTAGCTTCAGAAACCTTGCTCTTCCTAGGACCCGGCCTCCTTCCTTATTTGGACAATGGCTGAATCTCCGAACCCTGAAACCCTCCCTGGCTCGTTGAGAGGGTCATCTCCATTTCCTTTTCCTTTCTCTTTCCTACAAAAACCTTACTCAATCCAGTCGCTGGACTGAATGCAAACATCATTCACTCACTGAATGGCAGGTCTAAAGTCGTCTGAGACTCTCACATTTCATCTCCCGAGTATGATGGAGCCTGAGCCAGAAGGCAAGAAGCGGGTTGGTGGTAAGAAGAAAGTGGAACTAGATACAGAATGGATACAGGAGGTGAAGGTAAGGATGGCGTGGTGTTGAAGCTCTCACTTTGGGTAGTTGTTGTTGTTGGGGTTTTTTTTGGGGGGTGGGGGGCTGGTTTGGGGGTTTGGATTTTTTGGCTCAGATGAGGCACATACACCATCAGAGCTGGCAGGACCACCCACAACGTGAACACAAACAAGAAAAATGTGGATACTACCTGGAAGTTCACCAGACTGGGAGTGTTATTGGCAGCTCCAATAGGGTTTTTATTAGGATTTATTGAGATTCTTTGGCCTGCTGGGCCTGTAATGGACAATTGGATGTAAAGGAGGAGAATAAAGAAAATATATGATATAGGTCCCCCTCCTAAATAAATTAGAATCTATATCAAAAATCAATTACACAGTGAATGGATACATCCATACAGTGGAATATTATTCAACACTAAAAAGAAATGATCTATCAAGCTGTGAAAAGACACAGACAAAACTTAAATGCATAACACTATGTTAAAGAAACTAACCTACAAAGGCTACACACTATATGATCCCAGCTCTATGACATTCTATGAAAAGTGAATAACCAGGGACAGTACAAATATCAGTGGCTTCTATGTGATAGGCAGAATGAAAAGAGAAATAGGCAGAGAGAAAGGATTTTTAAGACAGTGAAACTATTCTGTAGGAGACTACTACAATGGCAGATGCATGTCATTACACATCTGTCCAAACCTACAGAATGTATGACACCAAGAGTGAAGCCTGATGTAAACTACGGCCTTGGAATTAGAGAAATGCAAATCAAAACTACTCTAAGATATCATCTCACTCCAGTCAGAATGGCAGCTATTATGAAGACAAACAACAATAAGTGTTGGTGAGGATGTGGAGAAAAGGTACACTCATACACTGCTGGTGGGACTGTGAATTGGTGCAGCCAATATGGAAAGCAGTATGGAGATTCCTTGGAAATCTGGGAAGGAACCACCATTTGACCCAGCTATCCCTCTCCTTGGTCTATATCCAAAGGACTTAAAAACAGCATACTACAGGGGCACATCCACATCAATGTTTATAGCAGCACAATTCACAATAGCTAAACTGTGGAGCCAACCTAGATGCCCTTCAGAAGATGAATGGATAAAAAAACGTGGCATATATATACAATGGAATATTACTCAGCAATAAAAGAGAATAAAATCATGGCATTTGCAGGTAAATGGATGGCATTGGAGAAGATAATGCTAAGTGAAGTTAGCCAATCCCCCACAAAAAACAAATGCTAAATGTTTTCTCTGATATAAGGAGGCTGATTCATACTGGGATAGGGAGAGGGAGCATGGGAGGAATAGATGCACTCTAGATAGGGCAGGGGGTGAGAGGAGAAGGGAGGGGGCAGGGAGTTAGCAAGAATGGTGGAATGTGATGGACATCCTTATCCAAATTACATGTATAAAGACATGAAAAAGAAAAAAAACTACGACCTTGGGGTGTGTCAGTACATCATCCATCAATTGGGATATGTGTACCACTCTGTTGGAGGATGTTGATGGTAGGGAATATGAGGGTGGACATTGGGGGTGTATGGAAATCTCTGTATTTCCACTTAGTTTTGCTGTGACCTGCTCTAAAATGTGAAGTTTGTTTTTAAAAACCAATCATGTGGTATATTTACAAAGAATGATACCATGAAGTCACAAGTGTAAACAGGTCTCAGAATGTTAGAATCATTAATCATGAACTAATAATTATGACCCAAGTTCAAAAAATAGACATTAGAGTGGAGATGGGAAAGATGCAGTAGACCTGGTGCCTTCAGTAAATATGTGCTGAGAACATACAATGAATGTCCCAGGTCCTGGAGACACAGGGGCAGACAAAATAACGTCTTTGCTCCCAGGGAGCTATGTTCCAGTCAAAGAGAGAGTCCGAGTCCAAAACCACTATTCAATGCCACAGCAGCTATTATTGCATGGCACAAGGAGAAAGCAGCATGAGGACTCTCCAGCTGCTGGGCTGAGAGAGGAGTTGCTCCCATACCCACAGGGCATTTGGGGAAGGCCTGTGGGGCCAAGTGCCACTTGAGCCTGAGCCATGAAGATACCGAGGGGAAGGGCATCCCAGGCAGAGCCAGGAAAGGCCCTGAAAACTTCACCTCAAGGACAAATGTGAGCAAGTGGCAGAGGGATGGGGAATGGGTACCTTAGGTCCCGAGATGTGTTAGTCAACTTTCCATTGCTGTGACAAAATACCTGAGACAATTCATTAAAAAGGAGAAAGATTTATTTTGGTTTGCAGTCTATGGTCACTTGGTCTTGACCCTTTGGGCCTGTGGAGAGGAGAAACATCACAGTGGAAAATGTATGGTCTACCACGCGGCCTGCGCAATGGTTTCATTAATGAGGTTCTAGGCATAAAGTTAGTTAGAAGAGATCGAAATAAAACACACAGACTCAGTTACCTTATTTCTATTGCCAGGTCCTAGACGGCTCCCCTCTCTGGCTCCCTCCTCTAACCGCCCAGCAGGGCAGCAAGGATTACTCAGGGCTAGCAGGAGAGAGAGAGAGTGAACACGCCAGGGAGTAGCCTTTTATTGGGGAACAAGAAATTCAGGGGATAATTCCATCCAATGAAGGTTGAGGGGGGACTGCACTCCAAGGTCAGGGTCAGTGATTGGGCCCCCGGGGTCAGTGGTCAGTCACCCCCCCACACGGACGGGTTCTCTCATCAGGAAAGGGCCGGGAAAATTCCGACACAGCCAGAAGCCTCAGACCCTTAACGGGAGTCGCCCAGTCACGTGTCAGGATGGCTTCCCACAGTATGGTGGCACCCAGGAAGCAGAAGAAAGAAAGGGAAGGGTTGGGATCTTCATATCTCCTTGAAGGGCACACCCCCAATGTCCTACTTCCTCCAAGTAGAACTTACCTCCTGAAGTTTCCGCCATCTCCCAGCAGGGCTATCAGCTGGGGACCAAGCCTTCAAAACATGAGCAAAAAGGGGACATTTAAGAAGTTAACCATAGCTGGGTGCCATGGCACACGCCTGTAATCCCAGCAATTCGAGAGGCTGAGGTAGGAGGATCATGAGTTCAAAGCCAGCCTCAGCAAAAGGAGGTCCTAAGCAACTCAATGAGACCCTGTTTCTAAATTAAATACAAAATAGGTCTGGGGATGTGGCCCGGTGGTCAAGTGCCCCTGAATTCAATCCCCAGTACCCAAAAAAATAAAGATAAAAAGAAGTTAACCATAACACCAGCTCACTGGGTTGAGCCACTGTCTCAAGGACACAAAGCCTGTATCAGTCAGGACAATGATCATCACCTGCTGAAATTAACAGTCTTTCCCAAAGCTCAGAGGCTTAATAAGCAGATGTGTATACCTTGCTTACTTCATATCTTATTTTCAGTCTTATTAGCTCTTTTGAGTGACATTTCTCCAAAGTGGGTCTCAGGAATCTGGGCCTTTCATCAGGGGTCACCACTATCTTGGAGGTTTTTTTGTTTTGTTTTTGTTTTTGTTTTTAGGTCCAGTTTCCTGGACGGATAGTAAAGCCAGAGTCCAGGCTTAAGTTCCATGACCGAAACAAGTCACACGACCCCCACCTAGCTACACAGGAGCTGGGAAATATTCTTCCTGCTGCACCGAGAGGAAAAGCAATCAGCCACCCTCACTCAGCCACCTTTATGTAATGAGGTGGCCTCCATGTGTCAGAGTGGAAGAGAACAGGAAACGGACACTGTGTACCAAGGGGCAGACTCTTCAGGCCTCCTGTCAGGGAACGGGCTGCTCAGTACTCTTTATCTCCTGGGCCTGCCTGTAGGGAGAAAGTCCATAAAACAGTCCAAAATCTCCAGGTTGTAAGGGACAATGGGGAGGATATTGGGAGCCCTGACATAAAGTCTTCAGCTTCCTCATCTAATGAATTAAAGAAAACTGACTTGCTCTCTTACTCCAGCTAGCCTAGCTCACTCCATATTCTTCCTACACTCCAATGGAGGACACACATCCTTCCCAACAGTCGATCACACACAAGGCCACAAAGCAAACCTCAGCAGACACTAAAGAGCTGATACCACATCACAGACTCTCTCCCTAATGCATTTTAATTAGTAATGCTAACAATGTAAACAAAGGCACTCTATACATTGGCAAATGTAGTACCACTCATAAGTAACTTGTGTATAAAGGAACAACTCATATTGAAAGAAAAAATAAATGAATTTTAAAAAAATAATATTGGAAATTTGAAAATATTATGAATGGAGTAAAAATGAAAGGTAGATATCTCCACTCCTGGGAAACAGTTAACACAGTATTTTGAGAGGAACCTCGTAGTCCCATCTGCTTATGTAAATAAGGAGGATGGTTATAAAGAAAAAGAAAGATGAAGATCAATATGTTCAGCATCCAATTAAGGAATTAGAGAAATAAAATAGAATAACCTAGAAGACCAGCAAAAAGTTCTTATTGGTAACAAGAACAGAAATTGTTTATTCTGTTCAGTAGAACAATTAAATAAACAATTCAATAGAATAATATAGTAAACAATATGTTTTAGTCAGCTTTTTCACTGCTGTGACTAAAAGACCCAACCAGAACAATTGTAGAGGAGGAAAAGTTCATTTGAGGGCTCAGGGTTTCAGAGGTCTTAGTCCATAGAAGGCTGGCTCCATTCCTTGGGGCTCAAGATGAGGCAGAACATCGTGGAGGAAGAGTGTGGCAGAGGGAAGCAGCTCATAGGGTGATTAGAAAGCAAAGAGAGAGAGAGACTCCACTTATGTACCCCATAGCCAGGCCTCCACTGAACCACTTCCTCCAGCCACAACCCACCTGCCCCCAGTTACCACCCAGTTAATTCCATCAGGGATTAATTCACTGATTAGGTTAAGGCTAGAACCCAATCATTTCTCCTCCAAACCTTCTTGCATTATCTCATACGTGAGCTTCTGGGGGACACCTCACACCCAAACCATAAAATAAATAAACCATACACTTGTTCTTTGAAAATATTATTTATAAAATAGGCAAAGTTCCTAACAAGTTTGATACAGAAAAAAAAATAAAGAGAAGGCATAAATAATATAAGGAATGAAGGAGAGGATATAACAGAGGCAGTGGAATATTTTTAAAAAACAGTATATGACAAAATTTTAATGAAAAAAAATTTGCATAAAATGAACAATCTCCTAAAAAATATAATTTACTAAGACTAAGAAGAAAATTGTAAAAACCTGAATGGACCAACATTATGGGTTGAATTGTTCCCCTCCCCGTCCCCCCAAAAGACAGGTTGAAATCCTAACCTCCAGCACCTCAGCATGTGGCTGTATCTGGAAATGGAGTCTTTGTGGGTGTAATTAATGACATTAAACGAGGTCATGCTATAGTAGGGTGTGCCCCAGCTTCAGCACCACTGGTGCCCTCCCAAGAAGACACAGTGAAGATGCAGGGATGGAGTGATGTACAGACAAGCCACAAAAGGTCAAGTCGCCATCGATTCCTAAGAGTCGAAGGTGGGGAAGAGGATCTTCCTACCAGCCTCCAGGAGGAAGCAACCCTGTGGACACCACGATGTCACACTTCTGGCCTCCAAGGTGGTGAGGGAATATATTTCTGTTACATCAGCTGCCCAGCTGGCCGGACTTGGTTCCACGCTGCTAGGAAATAAAAAGAACCAATAAGCGTTGGGGTGAGTGAAGTGAGCACTTCAGTCTGTATGGGTGTGCATGGGTGTGTGCATGCACGTGCGTGTGCATGCAATCAGAGCAGCACGTGGTCACACAAAGAGCAAGCAGATGCAGGGTCTGAGTGCTTTAGTGACCTCCGAAGCAGGACAGTCAGCACCTGCGTGCTTTTCACAGACATCTTTTCTTTCCCAGGTGCGTAAAGGTGATGGAAAATTAATTCTCTACCCCAATGAGAACATCTTCCAAGTTCTCTTTCCTGATGGGACAGGACAGATACAGTATCCACTGGAGCAGAGACATGCTCATATGGACACATACAATGTCTGATTTGGGGCTGGGGTAGGGTTTGAGGACTGTGTCCTCCAGGGGGTCCCAAGGGACTGCTTGTGCCTTAACCAACGCCCAGCTATCCATCAGGAAGGCTCGCTCTGCTCATCTCCTGCACAGATGGTGAAGAGTTCACATACATCATTCTGGAAGACAGTCTAGAGGCTAGCATCCGGGCCCTCGTCAATAACTCTGGCCATGCCACCTTCAATGATGAAAATGGATTTATCTGGTAAGCTTGAGTCATGTGTCCTCAGTACCCTGCCCGCAGGGTAGTAGTGCCATGGAAGTTTGATCTCAGTCTGCACCACCCTCCTAACTCCCTGTCTCTAAACTCCTGTGTGCTGGGAACAGGACAAAGGTAACACGGGGGATGAATACAATAGGTCCTGCCCTCAGAGAAGGAGCAAGGTCCTTGTGGCACCATGGCCTCCTGGCAAGGAGTGGGGGTAATGTTAAAAGCAATCACAGACTTAGTTTCATGTCCTAAACGCCTCTTAAGAGTTGAGCCTTCTATGAATTACCTCTGATGATTCAGGGGTGCCGGGGCGGGGGGACAGGGGGCGGCGGGGGGGAGTGGCAGGTCCAGGAGCTGCTGACAGCTTTGGAGATATTGTGTTGCATACAGAATCCACAGTGAAAAAGTCAACTTCTCAATATTTCATTAGAATCAAACTTAGTCCTTGAAGTTCCCAGTTCTGGTGATGGTTGTATCTGGCAGTGTGCAGCTGGGCCTCTTCTCCCTAACAGCATGCATTTGGAGGACCAGAAGAGAACTTGGAGAAATCTAGCAACTACTTTTATTATATTAATGAAGAAACTTAGTGCTGGGGCTATAGCTCCATGGCAGAGCACGTGCCTAGCATGTGTGAGGTACGGGTTTTGATCCTTAGCACTGCATAAAAATAAATAAATAAAATAATTGTTTAACAAATAAAAAAGAAACTTGGGTTCAGAAAATGATAAGTCACTTGTCCCATGTCATACATAAAACTATAGGCAAGAAGTTTTATGGCATTTTGACTCAACCTTTAAAAAGCATTTTTTTAAAGTTTATCAAATTAGGTATAAAAGAGAGATCACATCTCTATCTCTGAACCTCAAAGCCCATCAAAACCCAAGGGGACAGATGATATTCAGAGCTGGGTCAGGACAGGTCCTCTCCCCAAGATTCTGGTTCTGTGGGTCTGGAGTGGGACCTGGGAGTCTGCACTCTCTAAGTGCTTCCAGATGATTCTGGGGCTTAGATGAGTATGGTTGCCAAGGTCTCAACTTCGTGGGGGAACAGCAGCAGCCAGTGCTTTAAAGTCCCTCCTTCTCCAGAGGAGCCTGGTTCCGAAGTCTCAGGCCCTGGCCTCATAGCCAGTCCACCACCCAGCCATCCCTAACTCCTCATCTCCCATCTCTCTCCTTGGGACCTGCTTCCTGTTTGCTCTTTAAAGATCTTCGAAACCCAGGCTAACCCGCACTCAAGTGCTACCAAGAGCTGGAGAAATCCCAGCAGCTTCCCCTTCTGACTCTGAGCTCCTCCTCAAAGGAGAAAATAGGGCAGCTAAGAACTGGGAGGCTTCCTGGCATTCAAAGCTAACTGGTCAGAGTAGGAATGGGCTTCGCACTCACTGGCAAATGGCGCTTGCAGTGTCTAGGCCATGGGGCCACAGGCCAGGATCCAGCACACCCAGCAAGCCCTTGACTCTTGCCTGGTTCCTCTGCCTGCTCGCCGGCAGCTCCTGCCTCTCCCTTCTTTCTCCTGGCTGTCCTACACGAGGAGAAGCCCCTCAGTGTTGTTCCTGGTACTGTTCTTGCCCTTTGTCTTGGTGGTGGACGGATCACTAAGCCCCTCAGCAGGCCTCCAGATGAGAGACAGACTCTCTATTCCCCACCCACTCATCACCCCAAAAAGACACACCACAGGGCCAGACCCTCTTCCCAAATGGGTCCCTCCACCCTCTAAGCTGGTTTCTTTCCTAGGGACATCTGCACCACAGAAAAATGTGGCCCATAGCGAGTCGGTCCAGTCCCTGAGAGAATTCTTCAGCAGGACTGTGTCCCATGGTCACAAGGAGATTTTGAGCAAGATCTTCTGACTCATTTGGGAACACAAAGCTGCTGGCCCAGGACCCCAACCCTAGCCTCCAGGAACTTTTGTACATCTCTGTAGCCTTTACACTGGAAGGAAACTTCTTGTGGTGCCTCGGACACAGGGCAGGATCTAGAACTGAGCTGTTTGAGGACTGAGTACTTCTTGAGTCATTTTTTGATTTCCATTTCCTCAGGGAGGGTAGAAGAAATGAGCTGTGATTTGCCAAGTATGTGGAAACTAAAACCCAGCCCCATCCCCAACGTGGTCCCCAGTCTCAGACCAGGCTTCCCCCAGACTTCAGGGTTCCCAAACAGCAAAGGGACAGACCCACCTAAACTCAGGGTCCATGTGGGCATAGTCTGCCTTCTCCATGGTACAGGGCCTCCACTTCAGGAGCATCCAAATTCTGACCACCTCTGGCTGTTCTAGATCTGTCTCTGGAAGTCTTAGCCTAAAGTCGCTAACCCTAGAGCTTTGGGGAGCCCCTTAAAAGATTAAAGGGCACTGGGCATGGTAGGTAGAGCACACCTGTAATTCCAGCAGCTTGGGAGGCTGAGGCAGGAGGATTCCCAAGTGCAAAGCCAGCCTCAGCAAATTAGTGAGGTCCTAAGCAACTCAGCCAGACCCTGTCTCTAAATAAAAAACATAAAGAGGGCTGGAGATTTGGCTCTGTGGTTAAGTACCCCTGGATTCAATCCCTGGTCCTAAAAATAAAACAAACAAACAAAAAATCTACCTTCTCCTAACTTGGGTCTTGGCATTACTTTCCCACTTCCTTCCATTCCTCGGAGATATTGCAGCCCCAATGGCATTGATTCCAGGGACAGCCCTGGTGAGGTTCAAAAAGCAAAAGGCAGAACAAGAAGAATATTGGAGGAGGAGGGAGGTTAGGCTGAAAGGTCAAGAAAGGATGGTTTGAAAGTTAGGCAGTCCCTAGAGAGTAAGGATGGGTGAGGGGGGAACCCACCTCCAACCCACCCTCCAACGCAACATCCACTCATTTGACACCTATCCATGTATGTGCTTGCATAGGGCTGGGCAGTGAGAATTCAGCAGGGTCCCCACCCTTCAGGAGGTTACATTTACTATTTGTGGCAGTTTGGGTCCATAAAGTCACTAAGTACTGAATTAGCCAATAGACCCTATCGTTCCTTGGGACAATATGTGCTTATACACACGTCACATGGTCAAGGACATGCAGAGCTGCAGAAAATTTGAGTTGCTGAATGTGCACGTTCTCAGCTAAAGTGAGTGGGTGGGTGGGGGTCACTCTGCCTCCTCGTCTCAGTTTTCACCCAGAAATGACCAGAGGGCACAGAAAATGGGAGCAGGGCAGCACGACGGTCCAGGAACCTCCAGCTCCCGGGCCAGTGGCCAGGGTGTGGCTCAGCTCTGACCCTAGTTAGTGGAGTGGCCTCAGACAAATCACTTGACGTTTCCCAGCCTTGTTTTCTTTTAGTAAAATAAACAAAACAGAATTTTGCAGGATGGGTTGTTTTTAGGATCTAGGATATCATGTTTTGTGAGGCGGGTGTGTACAGTAGAGCCCCCTTCTCTGCAGTTTCGCTTTCTGCAGTTGCAGTCAACCATGGAGGAGAAGAGGATGAGTATAGTATAATATGATATTTTGAGAGAGAGAGAGAGAGAGAGAGAGAGAGATCACATTCACATAACTTATTACAATAAGTTGTCTTAATTGTACTATTTTATTATTAGTTTTTGTTGTTAATCTCTTACTATACCTAATTTATAAATTAAAATTTATCCTCAGTAAATATGTATAGGAAAAAAATGTGCACAAGGCTCAGGAGCCACCTGCATTTCCAGGCGTCCCCCGGGATCTCAGCATGTGTCCCCTGTAGATACGTGGGTGTCTACTTGTGTACAGCACAGTCTTCCTGAGGGGCTATGGGTCCAGTATTTCCTAAATCAGTGACTTTACAGAACATAACTACCATGAACAGTGAGGACAGAAACTATGCAGGAAACTGACAAGGGGTGGGCCTGGAGAGTCCTGGAGAGAACCGGAGGGGCTGGTCCAGCTGAGACTTAGTGAGCAGTGCCAGCTGTGTCATGTAAGGTGGGAGAGCTTTCCGGAGAGAAGAGCGTGGAAGGAGATAAAGGGTGCAGGGGGCCCTGGAAGAAATGTCGGTCACCATTGTCCAAAGGCAGGGGGCAAGAGCCACCAAGCAAGGCTGAGCAGAGGGTATGCGGGGGCTGATGGCAGCTCCTGCTCTTGGGTCTTTATTTGTTGGAACCTCTCCTGCCCGCCAAGACCCTGTGGGCATTTCTGTGGCCCAGGAAGAAAGGGAAAAGGCAGGAGAGAGAGGAAGAGAGGGGCCGAGCCCTGCTCTCGCACAGGGGGGCCATTCCCCAGTCTGCAGGGCTTGGCTGCAGCTCCTGAGTCACCTTCTCCTCTAGGTCAAGCCTGAGCAGCAGCCTGGGCTACTACTTCCCCAAGGGCAAAAACCAGAAGGCCTGGAACTGGTGGAATCTGCAGGTCCACGTCCACGTGCCCCCTTTCCAGCCCATCTCCTTGAAAATCAACAGCTACATCCAGGTGCACATAAGAAGCCAGGACAAGATCATCTTCAGCTTTCTCCACCGACAGAAGCAGTTTCGTTTAAACCTGGGCACCAAGTTCAAGGTAAGTTCTCCACTGCCCCCACCCTCTGTTGGGTGGTTTTTCTACCTGCACACAGGCTGCAGCTGGCTTGGCCCGGCCGTGCCATGGGCCTCAGGGCCACCTCTGTGTCACACTAACCCATAGAAAGACACGGCCACCCTCACTCACCTGGTGCTTACCCATATGCACACGCTTCTCTGATAATTTTCCAGCACCATGAGCGTGAGAAGGGCGGAAACCAACCTCTCAAGAACCCACTGAGAAAAAAGATGTCAGGAGGCATCACCTCACTCGACACTCCCAGCAGCCCAGTCAGATGGCAGGGCCAGAGACAAGGGGGGTCTGTTCTCTCCTCCCCCAACACACTCGCCCCAAAACAAATGGTCACTTGAAAGTCTGTCGCGCCCTCGCAGGCCAGGCAGGAAAGCAGCGGTGGTTTACTCTCTCCCAGAGCTGCTGGATGAGTGACACAAATTGGGAAACTTAAAACTCCAAAAGCTTATTGTCTCTCAGTTCTGGGGGATAAAAGTGGAACATGAGGATGTCAGTGGGGGCACCAATGTCCAAAGGCTTTGATGGAGGATGCTCTTGTGTTTCTCTAGCTGCTGGGGACTCCTGGTGTTCACTTGTGGCTGCATCCTCTGACTCCATCCTCACCCGCCATCCCCTCTGTGTGTCTATGTGAAAAGATCTCTTCTCCTTTCTCTTATGTGGACAGCAGTCATTGCAATTAGGACCCATCCTAAATCCAGGAAAATCCCACCCCAAGATCCTTAATTACTCAGGATATAATAGTAAAATATGGTATTTCTAAACAAGGCTACATTCACAGGTGTGGGAGCAAGGGATTAGGTCTTGGGCGGATCTTTTGGGATGATGTAATTAAGCCCCCCATAAATGGTGAGTCTAGTCCCCTGGATTTCTAACTGTAGAAGATGGGCTCTTGAGATCCTTTCTGAGGACTAGAGGCATCAGGGGAATAAGGGGGTCCTTAGTACCTCCAGTGAGATCTTAACAAGACCCTGTTCTTGCTCCAGCTCCCCTTCCCCATTCCACATGGAGGGCTCTGTTCACAGATCCCACAGGGGAGGCACACAGGCCTCCAGAAGTCCAATCACCAGGGAGATAGAGAGACAGACATGTCTCCTTGGAGGTGAAGCAGATGGAAAAGCAGCCCAACAGCAGACTGTAGCAAATTTAAACTGCCCAAATATAATTTGAGAGGAAAGGAAGGAACATGGTAGGTTTAGGGTGACCAGTCACCCATTTGCCAGGACCAAGGAGTTTCCCAGGACATTAGACTTTGAGTGCTAAAACTGGCAAAGTTCCAAACAGGCCTGGCCAGCTGGTCACCCCGGTTCCCTTCCTGGCAGAGCCCGCCATTTTGCAGGCTAAGTAATGATGTCACAACATCCTTGCCTATTCTGGATTCCCCTGAGCAGCCTCCCCACAAAAGAGGAGGCCAGCGCTGCTGTCCTGGGTCACCCACTCACACCCATTGCACAGTAGCTGCAAGCTGAAGAAGAGCCACCCCAGGCTGGAGAGGGCATGAAGGCCTTCAAATGGTGGTGGGTTTCCCTGAGGGAAGAGAGCCATGAAAGGAGGACTAACCAGAAAGGGTGGAGACTGGGAGGCCTAACAGGCCCAGGGAGCTGGGGTACCCTTGGGGAGCTGCCCCAGTGGAGGGGTGCAGAAGAAGCAAGTCAGCACAAATGTAACTTGTTAGAGCAAAAGGAAGGAGACAGAGCTGGGGCCCAAGTTGGGCAGCCAGGAGGCCCTAAGAAGAACTTGCCCTTCTACACCCACCTCTCTACTTCCTGGGTGATGTTAGCTTCTTGTCTGAGCCCACCGTCTTCTGAAGAGATGCGGGTTGTTATATGGCTTAAGTAAGACACTTTGCATGAAAACATTTCATCAGCCTCATAGAAGTAGAACATATTGGTGTTATTCTCCCTCCAGGAGTCTCTTTATCAGCTTTTGACAAGCCACAACCCAAGGCAGAAATGGACACTGAAGTGTCCTCACTGGGGCAAGGCCTCATTCCAACAAAACCCGGATACACTCCCAGTGAGCCTGTGGTGGAGTCGGGCTCACTGGCAGACACTGGCCCTGGAGAGTGCAGCCTTTGGAAGGCAGGCCAGTCCAGGGCACAAGAGCTGGTTTCTCTCTGGTTTGGGGTCAGGCTGACATGTGGTTGCCACCCGCATCACCATGGTCCAAGTGGCCATAGGCACAGGCCAAGTGAGTGTGTTTGGTGAACATCAGAAAGGCCACGGGTGGCAGTACTGGGGAGATAGATCAGTCCCGAGGGTGGAGGTTCCAAGGGGGTGGCAGGACTGCAGAGGCACTAATGTCACCTGGCCTTCTGTGAATCCCACAGTTCATAAACTCAGAGGTGCTACAAGACCTGAAGGAGAAAACAATCCTGGAGGTAGATCCTGGCACAACAGCTCGGAAGGTCCAGATCCTTCTGGGAAAAATGATTAGGATCCTGAACTTGCTGACCATGTCTGATTTGAAAAACTTCACAGAGGCCTCCAAGATGTGTCTCATGGCTTTAGGAACCAAGAAGAAGAGATCTCGATTCTGTTTGTAGGGCAGTCACCAAATTCTCTCAGGCCTTATACATCATCCACTGAATGTCTTGGGAAGGGGGAATCCTGAAGAGCTTCAGGAAAGTCCCCAGATCTATCTATTATGTCTTTGAGAGTTGGTTTGTAATTTGGGACCTGTTACAGTTCCTTGGTAAGAGAAAAAAAAAAAAAAAAACAAGAAATAAAGCAAGCTTTGAGGGACAGACAGTATGGGGCTGGGCACAGAGAAGATTTCCTAGTCAAAACCTGACAGCTTTGGGAGCACACTGTCATGTCAGTAAGCAATACACATCCACACCCGCTCTGCATGCTCCTACCAGTCACTGCCATCCAGAAATTCTTTTGTAGTTCATTACCTGCCTTGACTCAGGATAGACTGTCCAGCTCTGCCCCTTATTGGCTGTGTGCCCTGGGTCAAGTAACTTTATGCCTCAGTTTCCACATCTGTAAAATGGACCTAGAAACAGTATCTACCACTAGAGTGGGGAGTAGTGAAGAACTTATTGCATGTAGCAACCCTAGAATAGGGTCTGGCCATTAGACACCAGTCAGTGAGTGTCTCTAATTACTGTCACCGGGCCCTTCCCTTTATACCTGGGCAGTTCCAGGGAGGTATCTGTCCAGTATGCATCTCTTAGTAAGGTTGGGGGGTCTGCATTTCCCTTGGTCTACAGGGATAGCCCCACCCAGCTTTCTTGGGCCTTCCTGGTCATGACACTTACCACCATGGACCAAGCATGTAGCACGAAGGAGGTGGGTCCCTGGTGCTGAGCACTACACTTTTGCAAGTTCCATCCCACGTGGCTTGTGACAAAGAGTGTTTTCTTGATGACACTGGTGTTCACAGAGGTTAAATGACTTACCCAGGATCACACACTAGTAAGTGACAGTGAAGACTGGCATTCTGATCTACCTAGCTACAAAGTGACATCACTCTGGTGATAGCACTTTTTTTATTGGACTCCCCATTCCAGGCATCTCAATAACAACCAGGCCACTCCAGATACTACTACCCTTATTCTACTTTGTTGCAGGGTCTCTTCCTCCCCCTCTCCCTCAGGGAGCTTGGAGGCCAATCCCAGCCTCCCAGCTGCCTCAGCACAAAGCATGTACCCACCTCCAGGAGTCCAGCCACTCCTCCTGACTTAGGAGAATCTGGGTAATACCATGGAACACAGTGCCCTGGTCCTCAGCTGAAAGAGTGAAGGATGGAGGTGGCTCAGCTCCTGGTCCCCATGCTTTTGCACTGAGCCTGGAGGCTCTGACCTCCTCACACACACACCCTTGACCACCCACCCCATCACAGGAGAGGAAACCCACATGGAAAACCAAAGCCAGCCTGCACCTGGTTCCCCAAACTAGGAGTCAACTTGGTACTCAAAAGGACCCACATGTCAACTCCAATACCTAGGACCCTTTTGGTCACTTAATAGTCATCAACTCAGTAGCTAAAACAAAAAGGGAAATGTGAACCTGGTAGAACAGTGATCCAAATAGAAGATGCAATGGGTCACACGAGGGATTGGAGCCCAGGAGGCCTGCAGGGAACAGGAGAGCATACTATCTTTCGATACCTGGCTCATCCAACAGACCTCAGTTCACACGTTTGTCTGCCGATTATTCTCAAAAGTCCCTAGTGGTCTTGGGCATCCTTTTTCCACTCCAGTGTGGTAAGGGATATGGGATTATATCTTGCAACCATAGCTCCAGATGAGGCCTGGGCATGGGTCATGTCGAGAAAAGGTGAACTTGAGCTAGGAGCAACCCCAACCCACCCCAGGGTGCCTTTTATACATCCCTGGGATACTCAACTCCCAGGATGACCTTAACTCTAGCCTCAACCAAGTCAGTATAGGAAAACCCTATTCCCAGTACAGTCTGACAATTAGCCACTCCCTACTGTGAAGAGTGATACCCAAGTACCACAGTCATGGACTTCCGAGTCAGCTTTTTCACAACTGTGACCAAAAGAACTGACAAGAAAAATAAGAAGAGGAAATTTTTATTTTGAGGCTCAGTTTCAGAGGACTCAGTCCATAGAGAGCCAACTGTATTCCTCAGTGCCTGATGAGGCAGAACTTCATGGTGGAAGTGTGTGGTGGAGGAGAGCAGCTCAGAACATGAGGATCACAGAGAGCTCTGACCAATAAGGACAAGCTATAAACCCCAAAAGCACGTCCCCAGGCACCCACCTCGTCCAACCACACCCTACCTGCCTATAGTCACCAGTTAATCCTTATCGGGGGATTAACACACGGATTAGGTTATGGCTCTCATAACCCAATCGTTTCACCTTTCTTGCACTGTCACACAAGGTGAGCAGCTCTGCTCCACCACATGTTCGTGCCGTGATGTTCTTTCACCTTGCCACTGGTACAAAAAACAGGTCCAAGGTGACCATAAATTAAGACTCTGAAACCATGAGCCAAAATAAGTTTGTCTTCATAAGTTGGTGTGTTGTCACAGCCATGGAAAGCTGACTGACGCACTTATCACCCATCAAAGACTAAAGGTCCTGAGTGGGCCTCAGGACATTGTTCTAAGCCCCCAGCCATCTCAGACTCAGCCCCAGTGCAACCTCACCACCCCACCCTCCTCTGCCCCATCACCAACCACACATGGAGATCCCATGATATCTGCCAAGAGTGGAAGGCACATGGGGTTGGGGCCAGCAGGGCATGCTAGGAGTTCCAGGGAGAGGCAATGGCATGTGCAGAGACACCGAGAGCCAGACAGGCAAGGGTACGGCATTGAAGGTATTTAGGACAAGTTTTATTTTTTCCTTCCTGTCCTGACCCTGTTCCTCTTCTTGGGGTGGGTTTCTCCCTTGTGAGAATTAATAGGCAGCAGTCACCTGCCTCCAATTCCGGAAAGCAAAAAGGTTCAGGATCCAGGTGGAAACCACACCAATAATCAGAACAGGGAAAATGTAATGTGCATTATTACCTGGTTAATAAGAGAAAATTCACAAGAAATAAAAGAGCAGCAAACAGCACCGTTCCCTCTCCCCCTCTCCCCTTCTTTTTCTTCTGCTTTTCTGGCACAGAAAAGACCCTCTGTTCTCTGCTTCTGTACTCAGGGGAGGCATAGAAAACCAGACTGACAGAAAGATCCACACACCACAGGGAGTTAACTTGGCCAACATGAAAGCAGAGGCAGCAATGCCCAGTCCAGGCCCTGCCACAGCAGTGGGAAGAAAAAAAAAGAAAGAAATCCAACTCTTTTACTCAAAAAAACAAAAAAACAAAACAACAAGAAACCAACAATGCTGTGCTCACTCTGGTTCTCCAGCCTCTGGTCTGCATTACGAGGGACAACAGCTCCTTTTCATCCTTCCAAGGTAGTCCTTTCCTGCTCAAGTTAGACAGTGACGTCTTCTGTTGCTTCTCATCCTGATTCAGGAGGGGCAGCAGACAGGGTCGGCTGAACCTGTGCACCAGGCAGAGTTCAAGGCTTTCTATTCCAGGAGCAAGGGGGATGGGAGGTAGCCATCTCTCACGCTGGGGACTGGGCTCTTGTAGTAAGAATGTTACAATATTCCAAGCCAGAAATACGAAAATGAGAGTTGGCCCAGGGCAACTGCTCTGAAACTACAGAAGGAAGGAGGGAAAGAACTATGGGGGGTGGAGAACAGGCAGGACTTGGAAGGAATGGGCTGGGTGGGGAATGCTGAGTGACTTGGGCACTAGCTCCTTCAACATATGCTTATTAGGTACCTATCGCAGGCACTGGTCTAGGTGCTGGGTATCCATGGAGCTTCTAAACTGGGTTGATGGCAGAAGGGCTAGCAAAAAACAAAACAAAAACCCCCTCAAGCAAATTGAATTGTATGTCAGGTATAAGGGTAACCAGGCCAGGTGTGGGGAGCATAGATGCTGGGGTTTGAGGGATGCCATCACATGGAGCAGGGTGTTGCAACCCCTGCACTATTAACATTGTGGGCTGGATAATTCTTCCTGTTGGGAGCTGTCCTGGCATCGTGAGATGGTTAGCAGCTCTGGTCTCTAACCACAAGAAGCCAGAAATAACCACTCCCCCACCATCAAGACAAAATGAATGTCTTCAGACATTGCCACATGTCCCCTGGTGCTGAGACCACTACAATAGACCATTTGAGGGTTTTTTTCTTTTTTCCCCTCCTTTTTAGCCCAACACATATCTACTTTGGCTAAAGTTCCATGTATTTGAAAAAAATATTTATCCTGCAATTTTAAGGTATTTTGAATTTACTAAAGAGGAAACTCAGTAATATCCAGGTATGGTTCATTGTATAAGGTAACTGGTCTCTTGAAGAAAATGAAAAGAACAAGCTCTTTAAAAACAACAAAAAGTCAATGCCATGAAATCAAGCAAGCAAAAAACAAATTAGAAGGGACTAGAGAGTGAAAACCAAATAAAAATGTGTAAACCTGGACTTTTAAAAATGCCGTAAGAGATTTGGGTGGTGGTGGGGGGTAACTGGGAAAACGGAAATCTAGATACTCAATTTTTTCGCTTATTCATTTTTTGCAGCACTGGGGATTGAACCCAGGGCGTTATTCACATTAGGAAAGTACTCTACCACTGAGCTACATCCCCAGCCCCTGAATTTTTTTAAGATGTGAAAATGCTATTGTGATTATGTAAAAGAATATTCTTGTTTGGAGGTAGATACTGAAATATTTAGGAACAAACTGTTAATGAAGACTAAAATTCACTTTCAAATAGTTCAGCAATAGACAGTGTGTGTGTCTGTAACACTGACAAAGCTTACTTTAATTCATTAAAATGTATTCAAGAGCCCAATCGTGTAAGAAAAATTATTTTAAAACACGCATAGAAAAAACCTGGAAGCTGCATTCCAAACATCTAACAATGGTTTACTTCTGACGGCTAATTTATGAAAGACTTGCATGTTTTACAATAAAATTCAAACATTCGTGAGCATATATGTATAATTGCAAAATGTGTTTTTAAAAACACACTTATTATTTAAAAAAAAACAACACATTTATTCTAAAAG